CACATCTATAAGGCACAGGAAGAGCAGAGTGTGTAGACAGCTTGAGGGTATTTCTCTAAAAGTCTGGAAGCAACAACTTTCATTTTGGAAGAGAATCTGCTAGACACAATGTAAGCCTGGCAACGACAATACTCCATATTTAGTCCCCACTTCTCAGTTATGGTAGTGTGAAATTTCACAGCCAAAATTTCATAAGGAAGGAAGCCCATAAATTCCTATCTCAAGTTATGAGACTCATCTACAAACCTCTCCAATACGGGAAGGTGCTCTTCCCCTGCTATGTCCACTACATCATCAGTGATAATGGAAAAGAAGTGCGAGTCGAGTCTCTCACTTCCCTGAGGGTTTCTTCCTGGATGCAACTCTCACAGATCTCCAGCATCTGTTTCTGTTGTGTTTTTGAACAGAACAATGTGTTAACTGCTGTAGTCTCAAAGCGTTTTCTCAGGACCTCTTCACCAGAATTTATGCGGCACTCCAACAGGGCCTGAAAGTTATCAGGAGTGAAGAGACCTTCTGGGATTTCATCAGCCTCATGCCTGTCCAGAGGTATATTTTGTTTTCCCATAAGAATCAAAATTTCAAATAAGGATTTTAAGTACTCTGTGTTTTCCTTCTCTTCAAGGGTTAAAGGCAAAATATCTTCATCCTGTTTATCACCCCCTTCTTCTGCACTGGGGTTCTGAGCATTGCTATTTTTTGTTTCTTTATGTTTTTGTTCCTGTTCAGAAGTTTCATCAATTTTTTTCTGTTTCAGTGTCCTGATTTCATCTTCACTCAATTCTTTTATTCGTTTTCTGTGTCTACTATGTGGATTGTTCAAATGACTAGTAAGATCAAATATTGTTGATATTGCATTATCTCGAAGTACTGTCCTATAAGGACTAGTTCTACAGATCATAGAGGTCTCCAAGTGTTTGGCACATAATCGATAATGTTTATTTAGTTGATCAGGTGTTTTATCTTCCAAGTCAGCTCTTCTACAATTCTCCACCCACTTCTGGCATCTGGCCGGATCCCGCGGGAACCTGAAGAAGGCCAGGACGGACTGCGTGCTCTTTCACGTGCAGTTGGGGGCAGCACAGAAGTTCTGCATCCTCGCCCGCCTGCCGGCTGGCCCAGCCCTCCCCTCCCCGCCTTTTCAGGGCAGCCACCTGCCCCTCGGGGCTGGGGAGGGGAGCCAGGCCAGCGGGCCGGCTGGGGAGGGCCAGCACGCGGGGAGGGGCGGGCGCGTGAGAAGCCTTAATTATTTTAAATAATTATTCCTATCTTATTTCTTAGTCATATAGAAATTAAACTCTTTTATTATTTATAAATAATTTATGGGTTTTCTTATTATATCTCATTAAAAGAACACCCCAATTTCCTTGAAATATCCTGATGGTGTTTTGGTTAGAATTTTAATGAATATTACTTAAATTTGGTGAAAACACAAAATTTAAATTGAATTTTCCTATCAAGAACCACTTCATGTTTTAAGGCATTGTGATTTTCCTAATAATGTATTATGAGATATTTCAAATATATGAAAACAGAAGGAATTTTATAGAGAACATCCATGTACCTGCCACACACGTCCTAACATTTACATTTTACTCTGCTAGCTTTCTTGCTTCTCTTTTTCACCTACTCCTCCATCCATACCATCAGTCCATCTTATTTCTCATTCATTTCACAACATGTTGCAATTATTTTAAACTTACCCTAAAATAGTTCAGGATAGATATCATTAAGGAGTTTTATATTTGTTTCCTATTCCCATTTCTACTTGTTTAGTTCAAGTTTACATACAATGTAATATACAGTTTTCAATATCACCAATAAGAGCTTACAGGCCTCTACAGTAAACCCCTATCCCAGTACAGAACATTGGCATGCTAGAAAATTTAGCCATAGAACTTCCCAGTCACTCATCTTTCCATGCACCCACCATACTGTTTATTTTTTTTCTTCATGGATGAGTTTTACCTATTCTCGAACTTACGGAAATGAATGCTTGCAGCCCATAGCTGTGTAAGCCTGCTTCCTTCACTTAGCATGATGTTTTTGAGATTCATCTACACTGTAGGTGTGGCAGTGGGTTATTGCTGTTCATTGCCAAGTAGTTTCCATCTTGTAAACTTACCAGTGGGTTTATCCAACCTCCCATGGATGAATACCTAAGCACATTACAGTCTTGGCTAGTGAATACAGCTGCTATGGATATTTTCTTACAAGATTTTTTGTGGACATGTGTTTTCATTTCTTCTAATGTTACCTAGGCATAGAATTATTGGGTTATGTGCATGATTTTTAAGGAAATTCTTAGATCTCTACCTAAAGTCCTCATACCACACTAGGTGCTTCTACCAACAGCATTGAAAGCTCTGGTCCCTGCACATATTTGCTAACATTTCAGGTGGTCAGTCTCTTTAAGTTTAGCTACTCTCTTGGATGGTGGTCCAAGTGATCTTTTAGATTGATCTATCATCTTGTAAAAGTAATATTTATTAGTAATTTTTCATGTTCAAATTCAGGTCAAACATATCTAATGTGAAAATTCAAAATCTGAAATAAGATCCAACACTCTTCAAGCCTCATGTCAATACTCAAAAAGTTTAAGAATTTGGAGCCTTTTTTTAAATTTTCAAATTAGATAAAATTTATAGGATCAACCTATAAAGTCTAGGCAAACATTCCAAAATCCAAAAAATCTTTCAAAGTCTGAAACACTTCAGTGGTAAGCACTTTGAATAAGGGATCTCAACATGTAAATGTATTTAAGACTATAAAGTTTCTTCTGAACACCATTCTGGCTGCATTTCCCTGCCCCCAAACAGTTATTTGGGCTTTTTAAAGGTTTTATTGCTTCCTTATTTTTGTTGTATTATTTTTTCATTTAAAAATTGTTCTAATTAGTTATATATGACAGTAGAATACATTTTGACACATTATATACAAATGGTGCACAACTTCTCATTCCTCTGGCTGTAAATGTACAATTCTTTTCAATACTTTTTGCCTTGAATTCAGTTTTGAATAAATAACTATACCTACTTTCTTTTCATTTTCATTTGCCAGGAATTCATTTTACTATCTTGTCCTACTTAAAAAAACAAAAACTCAAACAAAATCACGTTTTACATCCTGTATATGTAGGTCTCTGATTATAGCATGTAACTATATTTTTGGCAGGTGTTGGAGAGGAGTATTTTCCAATGTAAAGTTCCACATAGGACATGGTCATTTTATCTAATACTTAGTGTTCAAATCTGTATACCAGTGCTGCTTTTAATTACAAATTTACTGCCTACAGACACAGGTTACCTCTTGTCACTAATACAGACCATCTCACAGTGGGCCTCTGTCCCACACCCTCCTGTCCCTGAAAGTAAGCATCCACCCAGGACATAGTTCCCGGGTAAATTGCAGGTGGCACCTCCCTTCTCACTAGGAATAGCCAGATTGCTCTCCACAGAGGCTGAGGGACTCAAGAGTCCTGCAGCAATGAGTGAATTATCATTTTCCGTGCCTCTTTCTAGAACATAATATTATTAGAACTGAAAATTTTTGCCAGTGTCTTGGGCCAAATCATAATTTTATATTAGATTAACCTGGTTAATTATGAGGTTGAACATCATCTTTTTTGTTTAATAGCCACTGAATTGTCTGTTCACACAATGCCTGTCCTCGTGATTTACAGATTCCCTGTTTGCAAAATAACTTACTCACTATGGTTTATTTGGAAACTGAAAATCAACATTTGGGGTGTTTTCCTAGTCATTCATGGATATGTGCAGAGTGGTGAAAATTTGAGTCAGAACATTTATTTTCCCAGCTGAGGTTACACAGCAACACTTCTTGTGTTAGTTCTCAGATTATAAACAAGTATCATTTTTGTGGTCTATTTAGTGTCACATTTTTTATATTTTTATGTTTTTTGTTGGTGATTTCCCTGGCTAAAGTGGCTCACAGTCACAATGGCAAAGTGTTATCTAGCCTTCCAAAGCCTGAGAAGGCTGGGATGTGCCTTAGAAGAAATATGT